CCAGAAGGCTCACCTCATGGGTTCTGAAGCCTGGAGAAGTCAGAAGCAATTCATAGGGGAGCATGTGGGACATGCCCAATGTTCCCTCTAATTTTGTCCATCCATGTGTGGATTCTTTCCATCCACGTGTGGACTACATTTTGTTATGTGCACCGGTGCTTGTGTTAATGTTTACCATCCATAGAAACAAAAAAACTAGTTATGGGCACTCCGCTAATCAGCTGGACAGCAGTTGCATCTCTCCTGAGTGGCCACACAAGCGCACAGCTTACAGGGAACGCTGGTCATGCCCATTTACCCCCTGATTTCTGCTATGGCTTGTTGGCACTCCTCCGACACATTGGGCCAGAGAGCTCCCTCCTTGCATGGCAAACTGGGAACTGCTCTCGGCCTGCACAAAGGTGGCAGCAAACAGCTAGGAGCTGCAGGGAGAGCCAATGCTTTTGTTGCTACTTCTCATGGAACTCCCAGCCGCTTGCCACGGCCTCGCCACGTGGAGCTAACACTTGGCAACTGAAGGAAGGAACCACTGAGGGTAAGGGGGGGATCTGCCTAGAGGGATGTGATTCAAGCTGTTGATGTGGGGAGTGAATGCCCTCCAACTCTCAGCAGACACCAATTGTCACTGCCCCACCACCCTGCTGTAGGCAGAGACCGCTGGTACTAGTATGGTAGGGGAGACTGGGGGGACATGGAGGGCTCCGTGAGTCACACTTTAACTGTAAAAGAGCCACCTGAGGCTCCAGAGCTGAGATTTTGGGCATATCCGCTCTATAGAAAAAGCCAACTACAGCTGTCTGCAGCAATGAAGGAAGAAGTTAATTTCTAGGTTCAGATTTCATAGGTGTCTGGCAGATGGAGGGCACAGCTCATTGAGGGCTTGATCCTCAGAAAACAAGCATGAGCCACTTTACCCACATGAGAAGTGTCATTATCTTGAATGGAAATGCTCATGGGAGTAAAAATTGCTCTCTGTGGGACTGGAACCAACAAAGAGCTATAAGATTCTATTTTTTCCTGTATGTCTAGAAATTTAAGGCTGTTTGTTGTCTTAATTTAAGTGTAAGGAGACTTTCAAAGTACACTTTCTTGTAATCAACAGGACTGTATTTGTTTCATCTTAAAAGCTTTTTCTCCTTTCCTTTCCAGATCCCACAATCTTATTATACTCTTTATTCAAGCAAACTCCCACAAACTTGAATGGGAATTGTGTCTGAGTAACATAGGACTGGGACTGCAGCATTTGACTATATATAAAATGCAAACTCTCCAAAACAAACTTCAATTTAAAAACTAACAGTGACATTGTACATATTTACCCATCTATTTTCTTAACAACATTACCATTTTGAACAGAATCTTTGTCTATCTATCTTTGCTTACTTGTTTTATGTGTATTTTTATACCCAATCATTCATCCTCATATATATTCCCTGGGAGTTCAGAAAACTAAAGTTTCATTTTATGAATTGGGTAATTAAAATTGTATCTAATGAGACAAAGAGACTGAGGATTTGTCTACGTGAGACATTTCCATTTAACTAACACTGGTGTCTTTAAAAACTGATTTAGTTAAATTGATGGAAACCCGTGTGTGAACGCTCTTAGTCTAGTTACACAGTGACTTATTTCAGTTGCACTTAAACCTATTACACTAAACCAGAAAAGACCTGTCAAACAAAAAATAAGAGTATCCACAGAGCCTTTGGCACCATGTTAACAAAATCCATTAAAATAACATCTTAGGTTATAGTAGTACAGTTCTCTCGTAGAAAAACTCGGACATGCTTTAGAAACTAAAGTAACTAGAATATTTAGCACTGAAAAAAAGAAGGCCAAAAGTTTCATATTGAACTTACCATATGTCCATCTATTCCTGGAACACCAGGTACTCCAATAGAACCCTGGTGGGAAACATAGACTGGGGCTTAGTAAGTTTAACAAATTATAAATTGTCAGCTGTAAAGTTAAATGTAAACTTTAAAGAATTATATGAACACATATGCTTGCCATAAGTACAAAATGTTTGAAAAAATAATCAGCATTGGCTGACAAAGAGCTATTTTCACTTGACCTTCTGCACTAACGAGAAGTGTCCTAGCGTTATAATTTTTGTGCTACTTGATGTCCTACTTCATCAACCAACTTCAAATGGCTGAGTATATTGTAACGTTCTGAAGCCATCAGTGCAAACTAAGACATTTATAATTCATTTCCCCTGACCACTTTGTATGAATATGGAAGTCTGAGCCCCCTAATCTCAGGTTTGCACCTATATGATAAAAAACATTCATATCAGGAATCATGTTCCAAAGTTACTAACTGGTAGCACTGATCTATCTTTAGTACTTTTAAGTGATAAGCTGGAATAATTCTGTCTGGCACTGTAAGCAATAGCCAGCCTTTTAAACTACTTAGTTTCACTTACTACAATCAAAACTATAAAAACCACTATAGAGCAAACAAGAAGCAGATGTGAAGAAAGAATTAAAAAGAAATTGACTCTGAAATGTAACATTGGAAGGATCTTTCTTTCTTTTTTTATATAAGGCATTAGCACATATTCAGACTTTGGTATGATGCATTGTCTTTTTGTAGTATCTTGTGCAACTGTCATTACAAATTTTCAGTGATAACTCAGGAGGTGAGGAAACAGCAGTACAGTATGTGCTGACGCAGCAGTCTTTTTTCACAGTAAGTTTCAGCGAACAAGTAAATTGAAACCATCAATTTATCTCTCACTTATAAACATATCCCCAGTTTAGATCACAGACTAGTTTGTTCTAAAAGGAAGGGAATTGTCAATGGTGAAGTGTACTGCTGCCCAGCAGGATCCTTTCAAACAATTCTAGAGTCTCCTGCAAAGCCATTCATTTGGGTTCCCTTTCTACAAGATCAAAGAATCAGTAAGGGACCGTCTCCCATCCAACCAGCTATTCACATCAGTTGGGATGTTCAGTCCAATGGTAGAAGTCCGGGGATATAGAAATCATTAGAAAATGTATCCAATACTGGTGTAAGCATTTATGGATAAGTGGGGGTAGGAAACTAACGGATGGAAGATTCCTGCTAAATAAGAAAAGAAGAAAATGTGTCATATGACCAGGCCACAGTAAAGGAAGAGATATCCTGAACTTTCAGAAAGCTACAGCTCTTGTCTGGATAGAGCTGTGTGAGTTAGTCAGAAATTGTGTGTATTCCATACAAGGTGGCATATCAAACTAGCACTTCACCCTTTTCTACTCTGCTATTGCTTGATGCAAACAGCCCATGAATACTAACCAGCAATGGGGGCATTAGAGAACACACAGGATACATCTGCACAATAGCGTTATTCCTGAATAACACAGTCCGCGTCTACACACAAGCAGTTTACACACAAGCCGTTATTTTGACATAATGTTGAAATAATGTCGAGCTGGAGGACTTCTTACTCCAACTCCTGTAACCCTCATTGTACCAGGAATAAGGGAAGTCGGGGGACGAGTGCTCTGTCTCAAAATAACAGCTGTGTAGACAGCGCCAAAAGTTGAAATAAGCTATTTCGACTTAAGCTACACAATTAGAATAGCACAAGTTGAGTACCTTATTACGAGTTTAGTCCTGCTGTGTAGACATGCTCATATTCTTGCTGTTCCTCCCAAAAAAATGGAGGTCCAGGCATAGGCTCAGAAGGGAGTTAAACCATCAATCTCTTAATAAAATGGTTAGGGTTTTTTGTGTTTTTAGTATGGACCTTTCCTTGGTTGATACTGCTGATTTTTCTTATGATATTACAAGACGTTACAATGCATAAATAAAACAGGTTAAAATTAGCATATGCTTAATCACACAAAAGGATCTCAGATTTTCTAACATTAAAAAATAGTTTTGCTGACGTTAAGCATGATATTAGAAAAAGTGCAGGAAATAGAGCAAGGAAATAGTGCAGCTCCCAACTCCATGTAAGTCTGAAGGAGTGGTGTTAAAATGGCAACAGGAGGACTAGGGTAGCTTTACAATTTCACACACTGTCTATCAGAGATTACATTGCTAACTATACAATGCTCCTCTCTCTATCCCCAGGACTTGATCCTGCTCCTATTCATGTCAGTGGAAAAAGTCCCATTGATTTCAAAGGTGCAGGAAGAAGTGTAAGGAATGTAGTTTTTACCTTCTTTTGTTTGAACCAATGCCACACAGACAACATTTCAAAGAATGCTGTGCCCGTGACAGTCTCAGAAACAGAAAATAGAGAATTATATCGTTCTCACCTGTGAAGGGGTAATTATTCTCTTAGGTTTTCTTTATGATTTTAAATCATTAAATGAATTTTATTAGACTTCTTCAACAATATGGTTTATGTTCTGAAACCATTTATCAAAAATTTTGGCCTTTGTGATAATTGAGTGACGTGCTGGCAAAGTGCCATCTACTAGTTTTCATTACCGATAGATTTAGCATTGCTTGAATGGTTCAGTCTCATAAATCCTTGGTTCACTCCATCAAACTGCAGTAGTCCATCCTGATGAGTGTAAATAATGCTGAAAGCATTCACAGGAAGTCAGTTGTCAGGTTGCCATAGAAACAGGAAGACACCAGCAGGCCACCTGAATACAGCCAACTGAACACCATTTATCAGCAACACCTACATCCTTTATTTCCTTTATGGTCTTTTTTGGTCATATGGCACTGATCTACTTGAGTAACGACATGCATTCAATTTGAAACTTTATCCCCTACTTTTCACAGTGTTTTAAGTTTGGTTTCATAGTTACACAGTACTTGAATAAGAAAATTATAGTGACCTTTTCACCTGCAAATTCGGCAGACAGATTGAAAACAGTCTGCTCTGCATTGCTTGAATTTCCTATAATGGGGGAAATCAGAAATCTTGTGTCTCACATTATGTAGTTGTATTTTCAGAAACAAAATTCACAGACTAAACTAACTGCTCCAATGTAATGTACGGTAGCTAATTCCATTCACATCTCTTGCTTGCAATTTGGCACTGGGAAGTATAATCACTTTCACAGTATTGTTGTTTATATCATACCTTTTGTCCTGGAGGTCCCTGAGGTCCCTGAAAAAGGGAAAATAATTCAATTAGCATAATAATGTAGCCAATTTAGGCTTAAATGACCAATTAAAAATGTCCCATTGTGTAAGCATTCTTATGCTCGACTGAAACCAGACGATGTTTTGGATATCAAGGAAAAGTAAAACTTTCTGCTGGAAATGTACAATGGATCTTTTCTCCTCTCTTTTGGAATAGCATTAACTGCAGACTGGAAAAAAATCACTTTTTCCCCTATTTTCACCTTTTATATTCCATTCTGTCTGTCTGTTCTTATAGCTGCAAAGGTGACAGTGTTCAGAAAGTTATGGCTTTTCTGCCTTTGATACCAGCTAAGAGACAAGTACGCTTCCACAGCGAAATACCTACACTATATATTTGCTCGGCAATGTAAGAGAAAGATTTAAATAATGCACATAAACTCTCCTTCTCCCCCAAACCACACCTCTTTTAGTCCAAGACCAGTAACTGAGCAAATCTGCGTAAAAATCATAGCATTTGTGGGACTTTTATAGTGCTTTTATTTTTCAATACAGTTCAAAAACACCAACCAATTATTCTTAACACCACCCTTGAGAGGCAGGGAAGCATTATGATTCCTATTTTACAGATGATCAGAGAGGTTAATGGGCTGTTGTCTTTAAAAAAGCACTTAAACATCTGCTTATTGTTAAGCATATGCTGAAGTCCCATTATGGGTCTGGTGGGCTCTTGGTTCTCCACTCCACCCAAGTGGAGCTTGGCTGCAGAGGAGAGGAGAGGCAGCAGGGAAATAGTGCAGCTCCAAGACCCATGTCTGTAGGCCTTGGAGGAATTTAGACTAGCTCCAATGGAATTCCTTCCCGTATTCCTCTTCCTTGGCAATGGTCATGGGGAGGTGGGGACAGCTGTTACAGAGGCTGGTTCTGCCACCTCATCCAGCCTTATACTCATGGGCTGTGTCTAGACTGGCAAGTTTTTCTGCAAAATCATCTGTTTTTGCGGAAAAACTTGCCAGCTGTCTACACTGGCCACTTGAATTTCCACAAAAGCACTGACGATCTCATGTAAGATTGTCAGTGCTTTTCCGGAAATACCATGCTGCTCCCGTTCGGGCAAAAGTAGCATCAAAAATAGCATCCCCTATAAACTGGGGACATGCTGTATAGCGCACCATACCCCTCAAAAATGAAAACAGTAATACCATAACAATGAGTTCTGTAAAGGAAGCCTGAACCCAAACCCCTTAATTCTGATTGTAAGGGTAAAAAACAATTTTGGAAGACCAAAGAACAGATATGTTGGGTAGTGCAAAGGTCCATCTAGCCCAGCATCCTGTCTTCTGACAGCAGCCAATGCCGGATGCCCCAGAGGGAGTGAACAGAACAGGGAGCCCTCAAGGGATACATCCCCTGTCACCCATTCTCAGGTTCTGACAGAGTCTAGGGGAACCATTTTTACCCATCATGGGTAAATAGCCATTGATGGATCTATCCTCCATGAATTTATCTAGTTCTTTTTTAAAACCGGTTATAGTTTTGGCCTTCACTACATCCTCTGGCAAAGAGTTTCACAGGTTGACTGTGCATTGTGTGAAGAAATACTTCCCTTTGTTTTAAACCTGATGCCTATTACTTTCACTTGGTGATACCTACTTCTTGTGTAACGAGTAGGAGTAAATAGCAGTTCCTTACCTACACCAGTAATGATTTTAGAGACCTCAATTCATACCCTTATTAGCCATCTTTTTTCCAAGCTGGAAAGTCCCACCATATTAACCTCTCTTCATATGGAAGTCATTCCATATCCCTAATCATTTTTGTTGCCCTTTTCTGAACCATTTCCAATTCTAATATCTCTTTTTTGATATGGGGTGGTCACATCTGCATGCAGCATTCAAGATATGGATCACATCATAGATTTATATAGAGGCAATATGATATTTTCTTTATTCTTAACTATCCCTTTCTTAATGATTCCCAACTTTCTGTTTGCATTTTTATTTTATGTCACATATATTTTATACATTTTTTGTATCTTGCAGTGTTGTTGTAGATGGGTTGATCCCAGGATATTGGAAAGATGAGTTGGTGGAGGTAGTATCTTTTATTGGACCAAAATCTGTTGGTGAGAGAGACAAGTTTTTGAGTTACACAGAACTGAAGAAGTTGGTCCAATAACAGATATTACAGAGACAAGGTTGGAAAGGTATGTAAGCACATAAATAAAATGTCAAGGGTAGGGGGAATGGTTTTAATTACTTTATCTTTTTAGGAGTGTAATTAGGAGCACTCCTACCCTACATGGGTAAAAAACCCAGGAACTAGAAAACAGAATGGAAACTTGTACAATGTATTCCCATTTGTTAACTAGGATCCACAGAGTGCTGTATTGCCCATCCGATGGTCTGGAAGGATCTTCAACCCATTCTAGGTTTTGGGACACTCATCTGCAGAGAGCCTCCATTTCCAAACAGCTCCCTCAGCTTTTTCCTTCCATAGCACCATTTCCTCAGGAGCAACATTAGGTCCCTGCTAGTGGTTGCAATGAAACCCTTCTCAGCAGTGCTTAGCAGCTGCACATTCTATTGTGGCTTGGGAAGGCTAACCTGAGCAATCAGGTTTGAAACCTTGTCTGTAATAGCTGCACCAAATAGGGATTTGAGAAATGCTAAAATACGATGAAAATAAAAATGAAGCCCCTGGGAGAGAGGCCAACAAAACCTTTGTAAATCTTCTATTTAAATCAGTATAATATATTAAGATACACAGTAAGTAAATCAGCTACCCAATATGTCAGAAGGATTGCCAGGGATGGGAGATAGACTCTAAAAGACATTCCCAAACCTAACTACTGTAATGTAGGCTCTCAATGAGAGATCAGAGGCTATCGGTCACAAGAACCCTATATTGCTCATGGTGGAACTAAGGGGAACTAAGTGGTTGCTACAGCTGATTGTAAGCACATGTGCAACACATTGCACATGCATCCTTCTCATGACAGTGGAACACAGGATATCTGAGGACAAGGTGACTCAACAAGTTTGTGAGAGCCAGTATGTAAAAGCCCGAAGACTTCCAGGTTGGCTTTCATCACTTCTTTGTGAACTTAATGAGTCTCTGTTCTCTTCAAGGTTTAGAACAGTAAAGATGAACAAATGGGCTGTGTCAGGTGATTTGATACTTGAGTGTTCCCTGGTTAATAAATATCTGGATTAAAATCCTGCTGCTAATGAAGTCAATGGCAAAACTCCTGTATTGGCTTTACTCAGCCAACTCTCCTACTAAAGTTAAAAAAAGAAAAAGAAAAAAACAAACTAGGCCCATAATCCTTATATTGTTCTAATATTTTTGAGCACAATCTGTTAACTATGTGTGCTTTAGAAAGTTGCAGAACAGGAAAAAGTGTTACAGTGAGGAGGAAATATATAAACCTGTCCTTTGAAGATTACAATGTAGTTCAAACGTAAAGTAATTGCAGCTTGCAATGTTTTAGGAAGAGTCACTCAAGGTGTTTTTGTATCCAATTTCAAATTGGCTAGATGTTTAACGTTCAAGGAAATGTAAGAAATATAAACTCTGACCATTTTTATTTGTATGTCTGGTATAGCACAGATGATTTGTTTTACAAGATATCAGATTTCGTGGCTAGCAAACAAATGCCAAATGAGAAAACATAATGAAAAAGTACAGGACATGTGAGCGCTTTTGCTTATTGGGGCATATTCATATTAGATCCTTTTAAAATGTGATGCAATAGAACACCTCTGAACGGCAATACATCATTGAATCAAATAAGTGCTCTACCGTGAGTCTGAAAGACTCTCTTATCTATTTGCATGTTGGTGTCATGCTTGGGGGTTCTAGCCAGACCAGTAAGTGGAAGTGTCACAATGTGCCCTGTTACTACGTGTGACACTGCTATGCAGCTTGGGCTCAGAGCCTTGATACCAGCAGTAGCTAGCTCACAGCACCATGCCTTTCCAACAGCCTGGTTACTTGCAGGGTGACACCAACAGCCCTTCCAGACCTGAGTCTCCCCCAAACTGTCTCCCAAAACTTAACAAATGCTCTGCTCCTTTAAAGAGACAGTGCACATTTTGTTGTTCCCTGTATGTTGGCCCTACAAAATATCCAACCTCTACCATCCTGAGGGCAAAAAAATATTGAGACAGAAACCTCAACCAGGGGACAGTATAAAATGCTAACCTTATATAAGGGGTGAAATACAAGCTGCATAGTCAATGAAGGTTTTGCCATTGACGTCACTGGAGCCAGGACTTAACCCATTGAGCATCTGATCCTGTTTTGCATGCATAATGGGCATATGAAGAAATTTTGAAAATTTTGTCATTATGGTTCCAGAATAGACTTGCCCCATGCCGAAGATCAATCTACTAGCATTTGATTTAGTGGGTCTAGTAATGTCCTGTTTAATCAAATGCTGAGGGCACCACTACTCCTTGATTCACAAGAAGTAAGGGAAGTCGATGGGAGCATTTGACCTCACACTGTAGAGATGGCACCAACCTAGGCTTTAGGTACCTTGACTCCAGCTACGTTATTGACATAGCTGGAGTTGCATACCTTAAGTTGACCTTCTGGGTCTAGGTTAAACCTGGACGTATAGTATGTATTTACATTCAGCTGCATTTGGCTTTAGAACTGGTGAAGTCATCTGTATAAAATGATAGGTACATAAGAAACAAACTAATTTTCAGATGGGAAACTTCACATATATTCTGATTAGGCAGTGGCCTTAATGCTATTCGTATTCACAGATAAAAAAACAACAGCGATAACAATTAATTAGTTTTCATATAATGCTTTTCTTCAGCAGATCTCTATTAATGGTTGCTATGGCATCCCAGGAAATGTACGTGTCATTCCATTTGATAACAAAAGTATAGAGGAGCTAATTAAAAATTGGAAAATATACTCTTGAAACTAAATTATGGGTCATATCCTCAGCTGATGTAAATTGATATAGCTTCAGGTAAATCCATGGAGAAGTGTGGGTTTTTACCA